CTCATTGTTATATTATCAGTTAAGATTTGACCATTTATAATGTAATAGGCTTGAATTCTAAGTTATCTTTTGAATACTAGGTGCTATGTTTATCTATGTTAATTTGTATCAACATATTATTCTTTTAAATTCGGATAAGATTACTTCTATCTTCGTCCCTTACTGTATTAATTGATTCTTTTTACGAAGGAGATTTCTTTGTACCAGTCAATAGTGCATATCTAAAATTTTGAGTGATAGAAGTTGAACAAGATTTCTCATATATAATGTATTTCAGCAAGTAGCAGAGGAAGGTCGGGAGGCGGAAGCTAGTGCAGCCCCTCGTCGAGCTGGTCCGCCGCCACCATCACCCTCACCATCACCATCACCAGCCGGACACCATCGATGGATGAGAGCCGCCGGTAACAAAAACTATAAAACATACAGTTCAAGTAATATTGGCTGCTTTGGTCACCACATTTTGGTTTTACCTGTATTTATGAACTATTAAATTTCATATTAAAAAAGTGCTACACAAGTAAATGTAATAAGTTTTCAAAAACTTGTAGTTGTTTAGATAAAAACTCCAAGTCAAAGATATTCCAGAGAAATCTGTACAATCGGTTGGCATTGATAATATGATAAATAGGCTATAAAGTATAACAAGCTACTATATGTTGGAATTTTGAGTTCCCTAACACTTAATAATTAGTTACAAATAAAATTGATATCAATTATAAGTAAGACATGTCATAATCTTCCGGCACTTTATTGAGTCGTCTATTTAAGTAAATAACACATATTCCCTTACAAGTGTTCAATTCTGACTTAATTTACTTAAGCTTATCCTTCATTGCATGCTCTCATCATTAGTTAGTTTATGTCTTGATAGGATTTGAAAAAACTTCACTAAAGCAACTATTTAAAAGTGGATAGAACTTATTCTAAAGGATAACAATTTGTGTTCCACTAGTCTATCTAGTTAAGCCCATCTAAACTTACACTTCTGTAATTTTAACTACATATTTGATATGTAATACCTTTTTTGTTTTATTTGGTATATCAATTAAATTTACCTAAATAGGTAAATACAAGATACATAACTGAACAAGCAGAGCTCAAAACATAGTTGTACATTTAAAAAAATATATTTAATGAAGATGTGACATTTCTCACAAGCAATAAGGATAGATGCTTAAAGTAAAAATATGTAAAGTACTTCAGTACTTACCAGTTCTTTCTTTAGAATATTTCAAGAAACTTTCAATAGTTTCAATATTTATGTATGTTATATTGATGAAATGGCTATGAACTATAACATACAGAGAAGTGGCATTTATATTATATCATATTTTGTTATATCATACCTTACTTATACTTTATTAATTATATTTATACTCTTTTGCTCCTTAATTTCGTTTACCATTTATTTTTAATTTTTTTTATTTATTTTTCAAAAAAAATAACATGTTGGCTTAATTCTTATTGTTTTGTACAAGTTATATTGTAAGTCAATATTACAAAACAAAATGGTACAAAACAAATATGTGTTATAAAAGAAAAAAAAATCTTACTAATATGCATGTTATATTTTTATCACAACTCTAAACTAAGGATTCAAATGTAAATAGTATGAATTTCATACATTACAGTCTTACACAATCTTGTTTGAATGTCTTATCACATTTAGTGTTTTATATGCAACATTAATTGCTTTGCTCTGGTTCTTTAATATATGTAACCAGGTCACATTTTACAATTATGATAGATGTATTAACATTATAATATCGATATTTTAATATGTATAACCTATAATATTTCAAGCAGAATTTAATTTATGAATTTTCAAACTGAAATCGTACAATATTCTGACAATGTCAGTGTTCAATTGTATTATAATTTTGAATACTGTGTGGATATTCATAACTTAAAGTAAAATAAACTGAGGAAAAATAGTGCATGGAGTCCCTCCGCGCGGAAGAAGTAAAATTTCGTGATGTTGGAAACAAAACAGGAAGGAGTAGAAATTGATTTTTAAGGAATTTTTAGTGTTTCTTTAATATTAATTTTTATAACATTACAAGGCATAATTACCCGCATGCGTTCGTGCGCCATGCATTCCTTTCCGCTTTATTTCTTTTTACATCCCCCCCCCCCCCCCCCCCCCCCCCCCCCCCCCCCCCCCCCCCCCCCCCCCTTCTCAATTGCATTATATGGTTGACGCAAAATAAAACATATAATGTATAAATTAGGTTTTTTTATTTAAGTTTGTACGTGAAACGAATTGTCCTTATATTATATGGTGACATATAATATATGTTTGTATTGATATTATGTTATATTGTTCAACAGACAGCGAGAGCGGCGCCCGAGGTCGCGGTTCCCGCCCGCGCGGTCGTCCGGCAAGGAGATCGCACAACTACATGCGTTTCTAAATAAATAACAATTATATAAAAATACTACATACATAATTATACTAGTTTTTTACTACGACTTGCATCGCCATCCTGTACATTGTTAGTTTCAAACCTTTGTCCCAATGATTTGCTCAAATCAAAAACATTACCAAAAAATACGGCTTACGATGCAAACGCGTACTAAGAACATACAATATTGAAAACTATCTGATAATTTAATATCTCAGTTGTCAAAATACTATTATAAAACTTTTCAAATGATTTTCGACTAGGTACTTTCATCTATATTAGTATTATAATATTGATAGCGCTTATATTATTAAGTATGTGTGGGAATGGTTGTGGAATTGTGCACTGTGTAACTAATTGTGCATGAATATACATAGCAATGTAAATGAACACATCTCTGACTGCGGTGTTATACAATAGTAGTTACTTTAGAATTAAGATGTTCTTGTCCAAACATGTAACTTAATGATTATCTATCCCTAACTTCTATTACTTTGATACTGTTTCATCTTTTGAACAAAATCTATGATAAATATATAGGATACTATGAAACAGGTTTCACATAAATATTTCCTAATAATAATAAGTCTAAAGTAACCCTGTATGGTTCTATAATATTAATATAATTTAACTTTATGTATTAACTTCCAGTTAGTATGTAAGTCGAACATTTCCATTTAATGATATCTATACAATATATTGTCTTGAATACATAATTTTGACGTACCTTATTATATATTAAGCATGTTTTCTGTTTGATTTCAAATGACATACAGTTTTTATAACAAAAAATGTGTATTTGCATTTAAAGTTAACTGTCCTGTAACTTTACTCAGAAAATAAGCTTTTATTCAATGATTGTAGAATTTTGAAAAATATGAATAAAGATTACGTACAAGAAAATTTTGTTAAGTTTTTTGTGTTTGCTAGCCTACTTTCCTGAATAACTTCGAAAAATACTAAATAATGGTTTTTGTACACCTACACACAAATTATAACAGAATTTATATATTCATTTACACTGGTTCACAGTGGAGAATTAATTTTTTTAATTGACTTAAAGGTTTCAAATCTGGTATGGTCTTTATTTCTCGTTTCCAAGAATTTTGACCCCAAATGTTGCCACATTGAAATAATAAAACTGGTCATATTATCTCAAAATGTAATTAAGAATTATTTGTCACTATTTAAAAATCGAATTCATTTATGTTTCAAAAATGACAATTTTTATAATTATAGTTATGAAACGTGGTTTCTATTCCCTTATACATTGATGGACACCTGAAAATTATAAAGCTATCTATTATGAAATTAATAATGTATAGCTTTTAATTCTCTTATTAAATATTCTCGCTACAATTATGTAACGTTGACACAAATATCCATAAATTCCTTATATAAAAGTAATTATGATAGTATTTATGCTTTCATTCAATAGGTATTTGCCCCAAGAATGTAAAAATGGTTATTTTTTTTTAATACATCATTAATACATATAATGGTTATCAGGACAATTTTATATTTATAATCACTATAGAAGCGAAGACTCAGTGAGCAGTCAAAACTGTGAGAAAAACAACAGTTTATATATTCAACCCACTGATTATGGCTTCAAAATGTAAAAATATTTATTATAAAAAAAATCAAATGACGTCACATTTGTTACCTATATCGATTATTTCCAATTCGCATGCGTTGTGCTCTAGCAAACAACTAACTATTTTATTACTAAAAAGATACTATAAAACCTACAATTCAGCTCGCGTTACTGTAAAATTTACTAAAGACATCACTCAGAAAACTAAAATTTCATGCTTCACCGCAGGCAACAATGGTTATTTATAATAGGCCATATTTCCTGTACAATAGCTAGGTAGAACGCAGGTATTAAGTAAAACATACGACTATCATCACAAACACGACTTCAATTGTATCTAGTACAATGTTCTTTATTATAATTTACATGAATATCTACGTCACAACTATTCTCCTTAAAATGATTTTGAAATAAACATATACTTTTTACCACTTTTATACATCTCATTGAGGAAATGTAAGAAAATAATAGCAACAAGTATAATTTAACCATTTTGAAGGTTGAAATTCTATGGTTATATTTCGTTCATTGACATATACCTACTTGGCAACAAGTCTGATAAATAAATGTATTTAAGATTACACAGGTGTTTCAGTAAATAAAAAGTATATCGGTGACAAGAACATTGTTTTTTGACATATTTTTTCAAATACGTAAATATCTTTTTTACGTCTAAATTTTAGATAAGACAAGCACAAAGGAAAATGAAAGACACTGATGTTTTTTGAAGATTTATTGTTGAATGTTACACTCTTAACCAAACAAAATTGAAACAATGGAATTCTTTCGCCCCAGTATGTAGTATTTCTCGAGTCCTATACTAACATTGCATTTACAAAGTCGTGAGATGAATTAGCAAAATAAAATAAAAATATCACCTTTTTAAACATAATACATCAATATTGCTAAGCCTTACAACTAAAATAACCATATGGATAAACATATTTTACATATGGTTGTGTAATAGTGAATTAATAGTAAGAAATAGAAAATTAAAATTAATATCCGTAAACATTTTCATCGGAAAAGGCAATGTATAGGAAGAAATCTTCGTCGTGGTGTTCCTGGTATAGCGAACCCATTGTAGCGGACGTTGGTGGTATTACGTTGTTGACGAAGAAAAACAGCGCATCCTCCGGGCGCAAGTGAATCCGTTTTCGGATTAAAAAGTAAAATTGGCCGACAGTCAAGTCCGATGGCACCAAGTATTTCTTTTTATCAAGGTTACCGAGCCTGGCTTTAGGCGCTTTCTCTACAACCACTGGGACTCTATCCGGATATTTCCTGCGTATTTTTTCTCCTTCAGTCTTTCTTTTCTCGAAAGAGTGTTCTTCTTTATATTGAAATTTCATTTTAATATCTTTTGCTCACTATAATTTGAAAAACGATGTAGCCAAATGGAGCCTGAGACTTGTTTTTTGTTTTTGCGTTGTTGTTTTAATGATATGACGCAATCAGCTGATATGACAAGTAAAATAACAGCCTTGTAATAAGTAATGAGACAGATAATGAAATATATCAAAAAGTTTTCATTGATATAGATAATAAACATAGCTTTGGTTTTTATTTTAAAACAAAAACCAAATAACCTATTGTCAAAATATTGTCTTGATTCGTGATAGTCTTGTGTATGAATATTAATAATAAAATCCACTTAAAAATATTTCTATATTTATATTTATATAAGTATGTGAAAACTATTTAAAAAAATGAAGTAAAAGTATAACATCTATATTTATTAATATTCACTTTAGTTTTTAATCAGTTACTACTTATTTTATCTGTTTTAATAGATAACATAATTTCTAATGGCAATACTATTAACGAGAATCGGCTTGCTTCTACGCTTGGTGTAAGTTATAACAAATATCAAGTTGAAACTTGAAGCGTTCTTTCGTTTATTTTTGTATCTGCCAATTGGTCGCAGTGTACTGATTTTATCTCACAAGCTAGACAGAAACTAATTAAAATGCGCAAAAGGAAATCGTTAAAAAAGGCAGATGAAGAATCCGACGCCTCCGAAGGTGGTGCAGAGCCCGAAGAATTTCAAGATTCAGGTGAAGATTGGACCCCTGATGCCGATTCGGTACGAGTTTAGTCATGAAGTTTGATGTTAAATTTACTTTTTATTTAATCTTACACATATTAAGTTGTTTGTGTTATTACATTTCGTAGGAAATAATGATGGCGCGTGGTTAAGTGGATAAAATAAGCGTATTAGTTCCTATAGGTTAGGTTGTGATAATTTGTGTCATATTTACTTTATTCATTATTATAATTAAATAATACCTGACGGTATTTCATTTTCTTTTGATATCGTTTTCAATCCACCATCACTTAAAAATTCTCTTACGGCTTTTTACAGAATGAGCAACCAGTTCGCGGTGGCAGAAAACGAACATCAAAAGCTGCCATTAACAATTCCAAAAAGAAACGTAAAAACTCATCATCAGAAGAAAGTGAGGGTGAAGGTGAAGAGGATGATGAGGCTGAGGATGAAGAAGGGGAACTAGAAGACGAAGAGGGCTCGGATGATGAGAAAAACGGCTCCGATGGAAATAAATCTGACTCAAGTCAATCTAAAGATATACCAAAGCACTTCCATGTAAGTCTTATTGGTTTTTTCTTGTATGACATTTAGATTTCTACCCATTTCACCTTCAACAAATATGTTAGAATTTATTAATTAATTTTCTATTAGCATAATATTTATTTGTATGTAACTTATAAAGTGAATTCCACTTAGATAATCAAACCACATTCATGAAATACTTATATCCAATTTTAAGTTATTGTATGTATATTTTTTTATATTTTGTTTCTTACAGTCTGGTAACTTTGTTTTACTGAAATCCGATGTTAAATGGGACGGTGATACAGTGATATCTAAACTGGATGAACTCAACCTTTGGAAAATTGATGGAAAGGCATTATTGCAGAAATTCATTCCGATGGAATCTAACGGAAAGATTCTACACAAATGCACATGTGTGGTAAGATTATATCGATATAATATAAATATTATTGTAAATTTAAATATAAATTATGAATTTTTTTTCCAGTATTCTGGTTGGAATGTCGATAACAGAGATAACTACTATCCTATCACAGAAATATTGAACAGAAATCCCCAGACTGACTCTAAAGAAATATGTGTAGCGCTAGATCTCAACGATCTCATCATGGTGAGAGACAAGTGACTTGTCTAGTTTTTTACTTAATTCAATTAGATAAGACAAAACGTATGTATCAAATGTGAATCTTTCTTTGGCACTTCATTCCAGTTTACTTTGTGTAATTCAATTTTTAAATGGGGTAATAAATTGTTCAATAAAATTTTACTGTTTTTGTGTTTCAATCATATTATCCTAATTGAATTCTGTTTATTTTTTTATTCAAGACTGATATGGTTAATACGAGTCATATATATATTTTTTAAATTTTGCTCCTCATTTGTTTATTGAAAAAGTATTCGGTCAGTGGAGACTAAAGTTTGGTCAAAAATGGCATAACTTGAGAAATTATAGTGTAAATGGTATTGCAGTATGTGATTGTAATAACAAAATTATTTGTGACTGCCAATTTATGTGTGTATAAGATGCTACATACAAAGTGCAATGCAATTTTTATTTATATTAATTGCATTTAATTGTCTTACATTTCTATTTTAAACTTATAAAGTTAAAGATTTTAAATAATTTGTAATAATTCATTTGTGTACTTTTAAAAGGTATCCTTTCAATTGTGTGTTTTTATCCATAGGGTTATAAATTTTGTGTGACCTAAAAAGGTTATAGAAAAACAGATTATTATTTAAAAAAATCAGAGATTTTTTAATTAATATATAATAATTATGATTACATATGTACATTGATATTATAAATAAAAACGAAATAGTCCTTCATGTGTGAAAAACATTGTTTTGATTTTGATAAATGGTGACAAGTTTATACAGAAAGTATTGGCATGAATGCTCATATAAATACTTTTTCCAAACGAATATTTAAAAAAAGTACATATTCTTTCTAATAAAACTTTTCCTTTTTGAAGGTAAAAGTTTTTTTAGTTGCGTTTGCTAGCTGTCAACTAGGAAGCAAACTCGCATAAAAGTCCTACGTTTTTATGTATTAAAAATGTATATTGAAGTTTTAGTAAAAATTTTCAATGTTATCTTTGTCACAGCACAGTTTCCATGAAAATAGAATAAAAAAACAGGATTCAGTTATAATTTCCACTATTTACTTCACGTAGACTTGTTTGATGGTTGTATGAGAAATAATAGTGGAAAAAAAAATTCTTTTTAAAGTAATGTAAGATTCTACCCATATTTTCGGTTATAAAGTGAATTTATTGTTGAAATATTTAAATTAAAAAGACAAGATACTTAAAAACTTATTTCTTCATAACTTTATTCGTCTGTTGAGAATAGAAATCCTAATTCCTACATCTAAATATAATGTCTGGACGACGATCAGTTTTTTAGGGATTTTTTCCTCATAATCGCTTGCAAAAGCTATTCCAAAATTTTAAATTTTTCTTAGCTAAACGTTACGTTTCTTCTCGACCTTATTCATACTAGTATAAAACGCTTATGAATTGTAATATTTAAAATGCTTTCAAACCTGTTCTTTTTAGAAGATTCTGCTTATAAACGACAAATGCTAAAGTATAAATATTGAACTTTTTTTTTATGTCAAAGGTGGCAAACGAGCAGACGTCCTACTTGGTGTAAGGTAGTACCGTCGCCCATGGACATGCGTTGCCAAACTTGTTTTTTTTTAGGAATATGGAGGGGTGTTAATAAGGAAATGGTAGGAAAGGATGGGAAATAGGAAAAGGGCAACCGGCTCTCTCACTCATCGGACGAAACGCAGCTATTAAAGGCTTCTTCACGCCGATCTTCTGTGAGAGGGTGGTACTTCCCCGGTCGAGCCAGCCCATGTTCGAGCTGTAGTAACTTACCACAGCTAGGCTCTACCACCTAACAAAAAAACTAAGCTATAAAATGAAACCTTACGTCATACAAAAATCGAAAAAATTTACTTGCCCGAATTAGTTCCTATTGTAACTTATTGTAAAAACATAATAACAGTTACAGTTAGCTAACATCATTGTAAAAAAAGGTAACAGTTACGAAATCTAGTAGGTATTTGTGAAAAATTTATGCATGGTTCTTATAGGTGTCTTATGCTAACATTCGGCTGTGGTTTTCTAAAAACTTAATAGCATTTGATATTTTTCATTGAAAAAAATTTCGTAAGATAGTCTCTCTAGTTACAACATCAATATAATAAGAATGACCACTGAAAAAATTTAATAAAACTCATTTAAAATATATTTAATGAACATTGTAACTTCAAAAATAGGATTTCAACTGGAAATCGATCCAATAAGATTTCTGACGGTCAAGAAATCATTTTGAATAACACGTATTTATTATATTAGCTTTTTGAGATAAAAATTTTGACCATTCGGATAGATGATCTCTAGCTAGCTCGTACCTACACCTTAAACCTTTTATATATACCTAGCTAAAGTTTTAATTGGAGTTTCCATTCTTTGAGGATGATTCGTACTATCGTGAGCATGACAAGTCGTCTTATAAGAATGCTTTTGAATAAAGTAAGTATGAATTGTAATGCTAATAGCATATAAAGTTATTTTTAGTGTATAAAGCAAATATTAATGAATAGGAAACTATAATTGATTATAATAACACGTTAAAAATAAATAAAAAAATATTACTAAATCATTAGAATTATAAGAATTGTAACCCTATATTTTTAAAGATCGTGAAATGCTTTAATTTTTACGTAGAAACTAGAAAGTTGTCAATGAATATGCATATCTGTCAACGAATAAAAAGTTCCTGCGTTTTTTTGTTGAGAACATTTATTATTACAAAAATAATAAGTTCAATTAGTGATATACAAAACTTTAAGCTATTGCGGATACATGCAGAGCCTTTACATTGTTATTTATAAATGTATAGTTTACAGATTTTCTGTTATTAGTATAAAATACGAAAGTAATATTTTTAATTCGATGTTACGAAAATCTTTTATTTCAGAAATTTGTGATTAATTGTATAATTTGTGAATAATGAATATTCGTAAAATTTTGTATTATAACTTTTTTTTAAATTAATAGATCTTGGTGGAGCAATTGAGAAGTTAATTTTGAAAATAACTTTCTTCCGACATATAATTTTAAATAATTTATTTGCAGTATTTAAAATATACTAATCTCTCGTGATTCAAATGACTTTTCTATGCTATGGTAAGTATTCAACTTTCAAGCGACTTTTAGACTTTAGTTACGGTGCCAACTTACAATGACAGTGACAGTTATTTGGAACTTTGTTTTGTCAAGCGATTACCTATAAAAGTAAATAAACCAAAAATGTTTGGTAAATAGCGAAAAAAATTAAATTTTTACATTTACACGAAAATATATTTGGATTGCTGCAATATTACTATTTAAGTTATGGAAAAGGAAAATACAGGTAAAAATAGCGAAGCTAAGAAATTAATTGTATCTTTGGATCACCAAGCAAAAATATAGCTTCAATTTTATAAATATTTGTGTTTTAAAGCACGTCATTCTGAGTTTGTAAAAGATTAAAGATCAGCATAAGGATCCTTTTTTTAAATACATAATAGTCGAATTTGCGTTTATTAAATATTATTTTGACTTTATTAATTATAGAACCAGATTGTGCTATTTGCCTACAAAAATTTCATCACCCTACACAGCTACCTTGTGGTCATGTGTTTTGTTTTCTTTGTGTAAAGGTAAGCAGTATTTTATGTGTTATAAACATAATTTTTGACTATAAATAGATAAATGGTTTTAATATATTTTCTCTCAATTATAGGGTATTGCTATACAGAGTAAGAAATGTGCCATGTGTCGAACCCATATCCCAAGGGATTATTTTGATCATCCAATTTTGTTAGAGAAACAGCCAGTGGATGAAATTGATGAAGATTGTGATAATAACAAGTATCAGTGGTATTATGAGGGTAGAAACGGTAATATAACAATTATTTTTTTATTATTTAATATGATCTTGCCAAGAATTAACCATTTTTGTATTATTTTCCTGTATTTTATATTCTATATAGCATGATTTATATATTCTTATATGCAATACTCATATTAATATGATTGAACCAATATAATTTTGTAATTTGAAGGTTGGTGGAAATATGAAGAAAGGAGCAATGCAGATTTAGAAGCCGCTTTCACATCAGGTGTCAGCGAGTGTCTATTGCTACTGGCCGGTACCATTTACTGTGTAGATTTTCAAAACATGGTTCAAATAAGACGCAGTGATCCCACAAAATTGAGAAGAGTGAAACGAGATATACCAACATTTCCATCTAAAGGTATGATATACAACCTCCTTTTAACAAGAAATCATTCCTTTGTTATTTTTTTTTAATTTTCAGGTATTGCTGGCATAAAAAAAATTGATCCACAACAAGATACTGAACAAACTGGACAGGATGTAAGCGATGAAAATACTAACACTGTACAAGAGGGTAACATAACAGATGTAATCAATGTTAGCGAGGAATCATTGGTTGAAGTCGACAACAGCTCTATTGAAAGTTTATCAGATGGAATAAGGTGAGAATGATCATATATTAAGTTCAGTATACTAAGTCTACAGAACATCGATAAATTTCCCTATAAATCTTCACACAGTATACCACTCATAGATATATAGTAGATTATTGATTTAGAAATGGCAATTATTTCATATGTAGTGCAATGATGCAAATAAATGAATACATCAACTTTAAAATTCATTGTAACAACTTAATATGGTATAATTGAAATTAAATGAAAAACTATTAAAAATATAGTTAATAGCATTGTTTAAGAAGGAATATAGTGTTATTTTTATTATATATAGGACAATTTGGTCACTTATTCTAAAGAATAATTTAAATACATTTAAAAATAAATTTAAATGTAAATACATTTAAAGTTATAATATATATCTAACATGTATTTATTTCAGAAACATCACTCTTCAACATGATAATGCCACAGATGAAAGCCCTGTTAGTTCATTAAATGAAAACGATGTTTTATCAACTGAAGACACATGACCCTACAAGGAAATACATTTGAGTTCATTTTCAAATTAGTTGTACTATTATATTATTTATTTTAATTAATAAATGAAGTATTATTTTATCTCACATTTTAGATTTGAATTTGTAAACTTGTTTTTTTAAGATGAAAGTGAATTTTTTTACTATTATCCATCACAATATATTTTTTTAAAGTATTATTACTATTTAGGAATAAATTTTTGCCATACACAATGAAATATTGTAATTGATTTTTTGATAGCTAAATATCATAGTTAATTTATTTGAATTATATGTGAAATTTGCAAATAATAAAAACATTTTACTTGTATTATTTTAGTCTGTTTGAATTTGTTTGAGAATTTATAAGAGGTAAACCACCTGGAATTATATTTTTTTATCCCTAAATATGTTGTTAATAAGAAAGTGATTGAAATGTACTAGATGTAGAGACAATAATTGTGTTTATTTTCATAGTATTTACTTTATAAGCTATGGGGTGAAAGGATTATGAACTATTGTTCAGAAATAGATCTTTTTAATATTATTTTCTTTTATTTCATACCATTCATAAAAGTTATCCTTTACTGGATGAGATCTAAGATTTTCGCGAGTACTCAATTAAATGAAACTAATATTTTCGGATTTACTACTCGATTTTTTTTTTACTATAAAGTACATACTCCCGACGTTTCGGTTACTTTACAGCAACCGTGATCATGGGCAGACGAGATGCTTAACTGGGATTATTGCTAAATAAATCAAAGAAATAACAACTAAAATTGCTGTTTATTATTAGGTTCTAAACTAAATACATTCAATACTATTCACCAGGGTCGTTGTTTGCTTTGACTTGCGTGAGTTAAGATCCAGGTGTTGTACGGTTTTTGCATTTGAGCCATTTGTTTGTGCCTCGGATGTTCCGGGCAGATTATGTATAGCCTCTCCTGTCTCCTCACGAAATAACATGATTTGCAACGTCTTCTAACTTTTCCTTTGACTTTGAAACCACAAACAGGATTAATAGTTGGTGTAAATGTTGGTAGTAACTTTGGTTGGTTTACATTGCTAAATAAGCTAAAATTAGCAGATAACGTTTTCAAACTTCCTTGAGGTATTTGGTTTGCCAGTAATGTTTTTGTAAACGAAATTATTCTCTGCATTTTGTATCTGAAAATGTTATGTATTGTTTAAGGTTAGACAGTTTAACCTCATAAAATTAAATAAAAACATATGATTCTACACAAACTTTTACCCTTAACTACTAAACGTGCTTTATCCAGACTTTGCAGTATAACCATGTAATTTCTTTATTAAAATATATTTTTGTTTTAGTATATTTAAATAAACATTTATTTATGGGAAATGTCAAAAATCCAAAGTTATATCTGAATTGTATTTTATTTTGTCAAATTGACAGCCGTCAAAAAGTGTAATGATAATCTATAATTTTTGTCCATGTGTTGGTTACAAATAATTTAAAGTTAAGAAAAAAATATAAATTTTACTTATAATAAAAAATTTTATTATTATTAATAATTTGAGCAGTTTTTTTAATATCTTTATTATGTAACTACACACACTTGTTCGTTTAAAGAAGCTGTGTTGGATTTGATCCGTTTCAGTTAGTCTACCCTAAAAAACTTTTCTTTGTAATTAACGTTCGTTATAAACTTGACTTTTCGAGATTAATTAGGTAAATCTGATTTTGAAGTACTATTATTTTAGAAAGTTATTTTCTTTTCCTGCCCTGTGTAAAGTGTGAAATATAAATAACAAATAAATCGTAATAAGCCGAGTTTCCTTCAGTATTTATGCTTTTTTTATATGTAATTAAAGAAAGATAATAAAACAATTTAACTAAAACTGAAATCATCCAAATATTTTTTTATAAAATTCTACGGATTAAACCTAATGTAAAAAGATACAAAATCGATATTTATACTTTCAGATATTTATGACAAAAGCTTTTTGCTTAATTTCAACAAAGCCTTATAATTTGTTTTAGACATTAGTTATTTATCATTGTTAGATTATTATTTTTTAGAAACTATTGCGTGAAAATAAACTAGGCAACAAAATTAGGTTTTATATTGAGATTAAGTTGTTTGATAAATTTCGTTGACCTTAGTTTTAGTTCTGAATTATATTGAATGATTCTAGACTTCTTTTTAAAAATACAGTTAAAATTTATTTCTGGTAATAATATAAAACCAAAAATTTTGCTTTCAAGCTCCATTTATATGTTATTTAAAATATAGTAGACATGTTTTCTTTGAATATCTGTTTTTTAAGAAACGTATCAAAAAGACACATATCAAATAGTTGTAAAGTAGCTGTAGATTTGATAGCAGTGTATGATAAAATTATTGAGATTGAATTGATACATATTATATGGAAGACTACTTAAAAAATTTGATTATAACTCTGCATACGAGTACTGTCCCAAAAAACAGCCTTGCAAGTAGACCTCCAAACAAAAGAATTACGAAACTAGGAACATGTAGAAAGTAAAAAAAAATGAATATACTATTACCTTCCTTAAGACGGCACTTTAATAATAGATAATTTTATTGATTTTCCCATGGATATAAACAGAATCTGAGTTTCGTTATAGAAGCTAGATCTTGAACTCTTTCGTACTAAGATGGAGCCACAGCCTGGAATATTTCTATTAATTATTATTATTTTCTTAAATTACTATTTATGATCTGTAAAATAAAAGTATGAAACCTTCATTGTTGTATTTATTGACGTTTAGAAATAACAACAATTATTACTGAAACATTTTATTGCTCTTTTATAGAGAAGTAAAGGTTTGTTATAAGTTTAAAGAAGTCGTTGATTAGTTATCGTTGACAGTGAACTTTTGACCTGTGTTTATAAACGGTTTAATAATGAGTTCAGCAGAAGCGCCCGTACCAGCGTCGAATACGGAAGCCAAATTTGTGTCCAAAATTAACATGTCTAATCCAAACCCTCTTCTTCAAACGAAAGTTACCAAAACTATTGTGACATCTCCTCATATTTATAAACCCGTAGGACCATACAGGTATGAAAAATATTTGCCTAAATATTATTTAACTTAACATTATAGTTGGAGGAGCTATGTGTTTTAAGAGCACTTACGAAAACTTGATAACATTTTAAATATTCAATGAAATTTGGGATATGATACATGTAAGTATTTTGAAATTATTAAAAAATTAAAAATTAAACAATACTTAATGTACTGTGTCTATGTGTATATATACAAAGTGTTGCCCTTGAATATAAAGTGTTCTTTCTTTAGGAAATTATAATATACTTTTATTCAAATACATTTTGTCGTGATTTATACAGGGTGACTGGTGAATTACTATCGATACTTGAGGACGTGATATTTGATGTTCATATATGACAAAATAAAAATTAATATAACATAAATATTAATAAACTTCTAAGTAAAGTTAACCAAAAGTTATGTAATTAATTACGCATCGTGTGAACACCCTACAGATTAGGTATACACACACACACAAATGCGTGCGGCGGCGTGGTGTTGTATCAGCACGCCGCTGCCCGCGTCCACACTTGGAAAACTTGGAACGTGTCCTCACTTTATTTATTTATACGGAAATTCGAATGAGAATCATGTACCGAGTATGCTCCTTAAATATTGATAGTAATTCACCAGTCACCCTGTATATAGTAAAACAATTTGTTTCTTTTAAAAATAAATCGGTGTACTGTTATGAAATTGGTTTTTAAGTAGTTTGTTATTTTTTCTTTCTTCATCTAAACTAATATTATAATCAGGTAATAGGCTCAAAAACTACTGGACCGATTTTAAAAGTTCTTTCACCATTATGATTATTATGATGATTGTACATCTTTCTGAAGTAACATAGGCTATATTTTATTTTGAAAAAAATTAGGGATCCTTGCGAAAACTTCGATAACATAAACCATGGTCGATAAAAATCACTATTGAAATACCTTAAATCGCGTGCGCTGCAATAACTTTTGATGATGGAGCAAAATAATCGTGTAAACTGCAAACCGTACCGTGTATCGTGTAAACTGCAAACTGTATCGTGTAAACTGCAAACTGTATCGTGTAAACTGCGAACTGTTCCATGTATCGTGTAAACTGCAAACTGTATCGTGTAAACTGCAAACTGTATCGTGTATCGAGTAAACTGCAATGTGTATCGTGTAAACTGCGAACTGTACCGTGTATCGTGTAAACTGCAAACTGTTCCATGTATCGTGTAAACTGCAAACTGTATCGTGTAAACTGCAAACTGTATCGTGTATCGTGTAAACTGCAATGTGTATCGTGTAAACTGCGAACTGTACCGTGTATCGTGTAAACTGCAAACTGTACCGTGTATCGTGTAAACTGCAAACTGTTCCATGTATCGTGTAAACTGCAAACTGTATCGTGTAAACTGCAAACTGTATCGTGTATCGTGTAAACTGCAATGTGTATCGTGTAAACTGCGAACTGTACCGTGTATCGTGTAAACTGCAAACTGTTCCATGTATCGTGTAAACTGCAAACTGTATCGTGTAAACTGCAAACTGTATCGTGTATCGTGTAAACTGCAATGTGTATCGTGTAAACTGCGAACTGTACCGTGTATCGTGTAAACTGCAAACTGTTCCATGTATCGTGTAAACTGCAAACTGTATCGTGTAAACTGCAAACTGTATCGTGTATCGTGTAAACTGCAATGTGTATCGTGTAAACTGCGAACTGTACCGTGTATCGTGTAAACTGCAAACTGTACCGTGTATCGTGTAAACTGCAGACTGTACAGTATATACTACTGCAGTAGATATACTTCATACAAAAAGCTTCTAAAGAAGGAAAGCTTGAAATATTACATCATCATTAAAAAAAGTGCGCAGATTCATATACACAAAATAAATATTATATTTGAAAAACTGATAGGAATTATTTGTACTTTTTAAAAATCTACTTTATTTTCTAACATTAAAAACTATTTTAATATCCAGAGTCTCAATGTTTAAGTTTTCATAAAATATATATTTTCATTTAAAAAAAGTCTCATCCAAATGACCAATAAAACCAATTGCCATTATGATTTTTCTTTTTTAACTAGAATTTTTTAAATAACCATTTCAAGTCTCTTCTACCTGGCAATTGTCCAGCTTTAGCCAGGGTCTGCCTTACATGTTGTGAACAGTTTTGGCTAAATGTTTTTACAACCAGCCGCCTGCCTGACATCAACCCTCTTTGAGAATAGATAACCATTCCAAGTAAATGTTATAATTATACCTTATAGTAATTGACTAACCTATAATATAATCAAATTAATTTAACGTCTTAAAATGTAAGCAAAAATACAACTGAATCAATATTACCGATTTGTCCTCAATTTTAATTGAACTTATTTATTTTAGAGTCGAACAGGGAAAAGTGTTCAAGTTAAAAAAATACCAATTTAAAAGTAGATCGTGAAAATAATATTAGTTTTAATATTAGTTCACACAATAAAATATTGAAATATTATAATTTTAATTTTATATGATAATATATATTTTATGTAAAATATTGTGAAAATATTGTGAATATTTACAATAGTAAAATCCCTACTAAATTTACAAATGAGAGTTCAGTTACATAATAGGTAATTTTTCAAGTAAGTATATCAGATTGTTTTTATTATATTATTATTATTTCGAGAAATTTATTCGTTTTCATTATACCTGTGTGTGTGCATGGTATGTAATTACTGAAAAGATTTTTCAATGTTCTTTGTTTTTTTTCGAAGACGGAGGCAATAAGGCGAGCGAAGACTTCGAATTAGCCTGTCATTTTTATACTATATTCTGATTAATCATGTGTTTGAAAAATACATTATTACAAAATCTTTCCCATTGGAAAATTTATAAAAAAAATTATAATTTCCTGAAGTTTTTTTAATTTCTTAATCAAGTTTATAAATATGAATATTTCTTTCATCTCTTATTTAACATGTTTCGTTCTTATTATTTTTTATAATAAACTTTCATTGAGTTCTCTCATGTTACCTGTTAAGGTTAAATTAATACGAATCGATAAAATGAACTTATTTTTTTTAAACTCTTTAAAATGTAAATATTATTTTAAATCTAAAAATCTCTCAAGTCGTTGTTTAGTTACACACGAGTATTTTACGCAATACTACAAATCATAATGTTGGATGAACGATGTCCCAAATTATCATTATTTATTATTGTTATACCCTAACGAAGAGTTTATAAACATTACCTATATAATAAAAGCTTTAAGCACTAGCAAAGGGTTCATTTCCTATATAAATGAATATTAAAATGGCTGTATGGAAATAACTATATCTAAATATTTTCGATTTCCAGTCAAGCTATTCTCGCTGGTAACACTCTATATGTGTCCGGATTATTGGGTATGGACAGCCAGGCTCGCCTGGTCTGCGGCGGCGCGGAAGCACAGACCAGGCAGGCCCTGGAGAACTTGAAAAAAGTGTTGGAAGCTGGAGGATCATCACTACTGGCTGTTGTAAAAACTACCGTTCTGTTAGCGAACATGGATGACTTCCAAGTAGTCAACCAAGTTTATGCTGAGTGTAAGTCATTTTTAATATTTTCTATATTCATTCACGTCACTAAATTTGGTGTTCACCACTTACGATTTATTTCAAGTAACCAACTAGTGGAATGATTGTCAAGCACTAGGTATTCAGTAGAAATAAATATATAGGTATGTTGGCGTTTATAAACAATAATCTGTTTTATTATCGTCGAGTTTGATAAAATTATGAATAGTAAGTTTAGATTACAGTACATAAATTTGTTTTATCTGCAAAATGTGTTTTAAAACCTTACATATAATTTGTATATAAATAATCCCTACAGATCTTATTTCTTCGGAAGGCAACAGTTGTAATTATGTATATTATAATAATATTTAAAAAAACTTATAAATGTATATGAGTAGAGGTGATCTAAATAGTGTTTATAAAATATTTATTTTCTCGTTAGTCAACACATTTACATTAATTTAGTAATAACACGATTATTAAAATTATCGCCATTAAGTACCTACATGATGACGCATTATACAATGTTGGTATTGATAAAATTTTGTTGTTTTTTACCATATCTCACTAAATAATTTCATAACTCTTATTATAAATAAAACTAGTCATTTTTAGGTCAAACTTGCATTATTCTGAAGTATTTTTAATGATGTTGATCAGTTAATACCAGAAATTTTCAAGAAGATATCTTTATGTTAAAGATCTAAAGGTACCTACTTAGGAAAGTAGTAATTTCATTTAATAATGAAGATATGGGATATATCTTCTAAATCAATTAACGATAGACCTTTCAAATCGATGAATACTTAAGTATTTCAATGATAAAAGTTGAAATCAGTACATTCATTAGATGGTCTGACACTAAACAGTTACAACTTACAAAAAAAATAATTCCAATACGACTATGATTTTCCTTCATATCCAAAGACATTTTGGCGTTTCCGTAGAACTTTATTTTACTGGACAAATAACTTTAAAATTCACATAATGATTTTAATGTAATTTGAACTTTTTTCTTTTACTTTATAATACTCGTATATATTCTAATGACGAAAATTCTCTGCAATTACTTGGTAGTTTTTTAATTCGTTATGATTTTGTTTAATTTTAGTAAACTTATAGAAGTTCTTTCAACACTACACTACTCTATTTATTATTAAATAGTATAATTGTTACATATTATCAAGATACAAATAAAGAAATATACCTCGGAATGTCCTCTTTCACTAAATCTTTCATGTGTAATTTCCTAAAACATTCGTAGACTACGTTAGCAATATTCGTTTTTGTACACATTAACCTTATTTGAGTTTATTGTAAGCTTAATTATTAATCTGTATAAGTTATTTAATTACTTTTACTGAGTTTTTCTGCGACTTTTTCCTCAGTTTTTGATATAAGTACTAACAAAGATTTCTTAAATGAACTTTATAATTACTTCAGGTATCAAAAATAATAAATTTCTTATATAAGGGTCATTATTCAAATTCATAATATTATTTTTTATTTTATACTTGTTTTTTAATAGGAACATTATTTTTATAGGCTTAATTTAAGCTATTTATATTTCTTATATAATTTATAACTTTTTTTTTTTTTTTTTTTTTTTTTTTTTTTTTTTTCTACGAGGGGAATCTTTTAAAGACTTCCTGCCGCGGGGGAAACGCGACAGGGGCATGTGGGATTTCCACCCACTAAACCACCTCGACGTTCTCTGCGCTGTGCGTAGACTAGTGAGCGGGAACGGCAAGCCATACTTCCGCTCACTACGCACGAGTCCCGAAAGGGACTCCGCCATCGGCAGGGGTATCAGTGGCTGACCACACCACCCCTCCGACTCAAGAGCAGCGTGCCGGGAACGCCAAACACGCCGCTCTTCCTCTAGCCTATGTTACCCGGACGCCGGTTCCCCACCGACGCCCGGAGGCTTCCTCACTGGGGAGGCAGGTCGCGAGCATAAGCCCGCTGCCTTCGACCCAGCCTTCGTCGGCGCAGCGGCGCCGAGGAGGGGTCGTCTTCCCTCACTCGTTCAGCAGCCTCCTTCTGCAAGATGACTCTCTCGCTGAAGTCGGCCACCGCCTGCCATGCCCTCTCGCTGCCGACCATGGCCTGGACCACTGCCGGCAACGAAAGGTCTGCGCCAACCACGCGGATGAGTTGGCTCCGCTCGGATATCCACGCTGGACATTCCATCAAGGTGTGGTCAGCGGTGTCTTCCACGCGACTGCAGTGGTGACACGTCGCTGTCGGCTCTCTCCCGACTATATGGCACAAATACCTCCCGAAGCAACCGTGCCCCGAGAGGATCTGCACCAGCCGGAAGGTCAAGGATCCGTGTCGGCGGTCCACCCACTCCATGAGGAGCGGGCGAATAGCCTCCACGGTTCGCAACCCGGCCACTGGCTCAGAGAGCCTTTGCCTCCACCGATGGAACAAGGACGACCGCGCAGATCGTCGCCAACTATCCACCCGATCCCGGTCCGGACTCGTTCCCCGGGATCGATCTCGCGCGCGCTGGTGGTAAACCTCCGCCAGAACCTGGGCATCCAGTTCCCAGGGAGGCGTCCCAGCCAGCACGCAAGCCGCCTCATGAGAGACAGTGCGGTATGCTCGTACCACCCTCACCGCCATGACGCGCTGCACTCTGTGCAGCGCAGCCACGTTCGGCCTTGTGAGGGCACCGACCCACACTGGAGCTCCGTACAGCGCCATTGAGCGTAACACACCGGTGTATAAACGCCGGCATGCCACACTCGGACCGCCGAGATTGGGGAGAAGCCTCCCGAGAGCATTCGCCGTCCCGAGGAGTTTCGGGACTAACCCGCGAAAGTGCTCCCGGAAGTTCCACCTTCCGTCCAGAGTCAGCCCCAGATATTTCATCCGGGGACTGAGCTCGACGCGGACGCCGCGGATGGTGATGCAGGCGCCCGTCGGAGGTCCTGCTCGAGGGCGGTGGAACAGGAGGGCCTCGGTTTTGTCGAGACCCACCCTCAGCCCGAGCATCTCGATGCGCCGTACTACTAAGGCGGCTCCCGCCTCGGCACGCGCCTTCGCCTCTGCTAGGTCATCGCCTCGAGCTACAACGAGCGTGTCGTCCGCATAGCAGACGACGCTCAGCCCGGTTGGGAGGGCACCGCGGAGCACGAAATCGTACCCAAGGTTCCACAGGAGAGGCCCAAGGACCGACCCCTGCGGAACACCGCAGCGCACCTCGTGACGATGCAACCTACCGTCGCTCCCCACGAACGAGATCTCCCGTCCGCGGAGGTAGCACCCGATTACCCGCCGGATGTAGTGCGGCAGTCTATGGTGTCGGAGGGCCTCTTCGATGACGCCAAAGGGTAGCGAGTTGAACGCATTGGCGATGTCGAGGGACACCGCCAACGCAACTCCGCCCCTAGACACGGCGTCATCTGCGAGACTCCTCAATTTCAGGATGGCGTCTATAGTAGACCGCCCACCCCGAAAACCATACTGGCACTCGGCCAAATCGGGTCCATCCCTGCTGATGTGTCGGACGACACGGGACGCGAGGATCCGCTCGAAGAGCTTCCCCGCATCGTCTAGCAGGACGATGGGACGATATGCAGACGGCGAGTCTGCAGGTCTTCCTCCCTTCTGGAGCAGAACGAGCCTCCCCTCTTTCCAAGAAGATGGAAAGCGGCCCGTCCTCAAACACTCATTGAGGATACCCAAGTACCACTCGGCCAACTCGCCCAGGGCGAGAGCCAGGACGCGTCCTGGAACGCCGTCCGGCCCAGGGGCGGTTTTCTTGGCTCTGAGTGGTGTCAGGAATCCCTCAAGCTCCTCCAGAGTGACGGTCGGTATGGCCTCCGACCGGTCCAGCTCACGTGAGTAGTTTGCTGGCATCGTGTGTGCAACCTCCCTGGGGAACAAGGCGCACACGACGCTTCGCAGAAACTCCGGCTCTAGACTCTCCGTGACCGGGGCGGTCTGGGCCCGGATTTTGTTCCGAGCACCGAGATACGGACGCCCCCACGGGTCATTGTCCAGACGCGCGATTAACTCCTCGCGAGCCGACTTCTTTGACCTGCAAATAGCGTGCCGAAGCTCGCTCTTTGCCTCATTGTAGGCGTCGCGAAGCCGAAGTTCAACGGCCTCGTTGCGAGGATGCCGCCTCCGTTGTCGGGTGTATTGGCGTCTCGCCACCGCGCAAGCTGAACGCAGCTGCGCGATCTCCGACGTCCACCAATACACCTGGTGTCTGGGAGGGCGTTGCGTGACGCGGGGCATCGACGCATCGCAAACCCGCCATAGAGACCGGCGGAACTTGCGCGCCTCCTCATCCACCTCAACGGGCTGCTCGACCCGCATGGTCCAGGACTGGACAACCGACGCCTCCACCGCCAACTGTCTCTCCAACTTGGTCAAAGACCAGCGTGGGAACACCGATGTGTTCCCTCCGGAGCGACGGCGAGGCAGAGAGCCCCCTTGTGGGGAAACCTCGAACCTTATGAAGGAGTGGTCCGAAAGCGTTTCCTCCCCAACCAAGACACGCCAATCACGCACTCGCGTTGCGACCACAGGAGTAGCGAACGTTAAGTCCACTATGGACTCGCCCTGCGGTCGTACGCACGTGGGGGCGTTTCCTCGGTTGAGGAGAGTAAGGCCAAGCGCCGTGGCCCACTCCTCCACCACCTCTCCGCGAGCGTTCGTGGCTCGGGAATGCCACAAGGTGCTGTGGGCATTGAAGTCACCGAGAACAATTACTTGCCTCGGCGACGCACGCCTCACCTCAGCCCCGACCTCGTCGAGAAGTCTTTCGACCTCTGCGACGGGCTTACTCGGGGCGAGATAGACGCCCACAAGCACCAAGTCACCCCATCGAGCAGCAACGTATCCGTCCCCCCTACCGAGAACAGTAGGGGGAGGACATCGCACACTCGACGAGACCACCACCGCCACAGAACAAACCGTATCCGACACCCAATTAGGACGATCGGGAACGAAGTACGGCTCGCAGAGAACTGCCACGTCGATGGACCATTCCGCCAAAGCCTGCAGGCAGAGATCCTGCGGACCTGGGGAATGGTTAAGGTTCGCCTGGAGGAATTTGATGGGCGAGCAGGCCATTACTCGTCCATTGTAATTACCTCCGGGACGGCAGCATTAAGGGTCGGAGCCGAGGATTTCGGGCGCTCCGTACCTTTGCGGCTTTTGGGTGGGTGGCAGTTCCTGCCCCCCACCATATGATTGGCGGCGACGCCAGCATCCGCGCAGATCGGACACCGCGGGTCCGATGTACAAGCCTGGGCCATGTGCCCCTCACGACCGCAACGGAAGCACAAACGGCTGCGGTCGATTGATGAGGGGCATTTGAGGCCGGCATGGCCCACTTGTAAGCACCTGAAGCAGCGCATGGGGCGCTGCTCCAGCGGCAGCACTCGTGCCGAGCTCCAGCCGACTAAAAGCCGACCGGCCTCCACGAGACACTTGGCCACCGCGATCGGGCATCGCACCCATGCGGCCCCCGTTCCAAATGCTCCACGGGAGCGGATCGGGCCCACCCTGACTTGCTCGGCAGAGCAATTGGCCTGGCGGATGATCGCCGCGAGGACGTCCTCCTGGGACACCGAGTCGTCCAGCCCGGAGACTCGCACTTCCGCGCACTTCACGGGCCGGGCGACTTTGACGTCGGGGACCAGCTCCCGGAGTTTCTGCGCTAGGAGGTCTGCCTTGTCCTCACCTGCGCCCTCCGGGAGCTCGAACATCCGGGCCCCGGTTATCGTTTTTTTGCAGACAAGACCCATCGGCAGACCAAGCTCTGCCAGGTCGAGTCCTGCCCGCGCTGTCTTCAGGACGTCCTCGTAAGACTTAGCGGTGTCTTTTGGCAGCGTCAAGACCACCGCCGGCGTCTTTGCCTCCTTCAAAGTCCGCTTTCGTTGGCGTTCTTTCCTCTTCTTCTTCTTCGCTTGCCCTGTTTGGGCCTGCGAGGAAGAATTGGCCTTAGGTGCGGTCCGACCGTTGCTCTGCCCATTCTTGGGGGCGGCAATCGGACCAGCACCAGCACCCGGAGCCTTCTTCTTTTTTACAACCTCCGTCCATTTCTCCGACATGGACGGAGGTGGCGGAGGCAAGAAGCGTGGGGCATTGCCCACCACAGAAGACTTCTTTTTCTTCTCCGTGCCTTTCTTTTTACTGGCCACCTGCTGAACGTGGCGCTCGGGCTCTGCCACAGCTACCAACGCTGACTCTTGGGCCCTGTCGGAAGCTAGGGGCGGCCGCAGACGTGGCTCCGGGAGGAGCCTGTCCTGGATGCCTTGGAGCTTCGCGTCCATCATGTTCCCAAGATCAAGCATGATCTTGGCGCGAAGCTCCTCCAACCCTTTTTCCCTATCTTGTTGACGGGGGGCGACGGCCAACTGGTCCACGTCGGCCCGTAAGCGGGCTTGCCCCTCCCTCAACATTTCTAATTCCTTTTGGAGCAAGGCGTTCTTCTCCTGCTCCTCCTTCAGACGGGCCTGCAGGATGCGTACCTCGTCGTTGGCCCCTCTCTCTAGGAGCGCCTCCTTCGCGTCCTTCAGCAGCTGCGCCGAAGACTTCAGCGCTCGAACGTAGCCACCCTTGAGATTTCCGGATTTCCGGGCGACCTCAAGAATGGCTTCGAGCGCCTTGTCCATCTCGACCTCGAGGGATGAGGCCGGCAGAGACCTGAGGGAAGGTAACGCTACCTCGACCCTCTTCGCCCGCCTCACCACCTCCTCTTCTGCCTCCAAACGGAGCGCCTCGCGCTTCTGGCGATTCAGCGCCGCCTTAGCTTCGGCCAGGCCGACATACATTCCCGTTGTGGGAGGCCGTCCTCTACCTCGCTTGGCCGAGGTAGTGGCCGCTACCTTCGGGCTACGTCCCGATGAGCTGCCGCCCGAAGACAGCCTGAGGGGGCGCTTACGGACGGGAGCGATGGTCTCGTGCTCGGAGCACATCTCCATCGACTCCACGTCTGAATCAGAGCCACCCTGACGCTGGCTTGCCTCGCTCCTGGATACGGAGGACTGTCGCTTGCTAGACCGCGAAGTTGTCCTCGACGTATCCGCCAAACTCCTCTCTAACCTATCGACACCGCCGACAGGAACCTTGTCGCAAAGATTTTCGAGTCCGTTATTCATGCCTAGGTCGTCCGTGCCCACTGCACCTCGTCTGCGAGGGTCCCTTGAAGAGGGACCCTCTCGGCGTTGGTTGCCCCCCCCAGAATACGTGGGGCAGACCGACGAGTCGGTGAGGGATTCCCCAGCCTCTTTGGGGCTGGGACCCTCCTGGGGTAGTTCATTTCCATGATTTACCGACGCCATAAAGTTTGTGGCCCTATAGAGGCAGGGCCGCCCTAGTGCCCTCGGGACGAGCCACCCGCTCGCCATTCATCCCAAGGCCGGGCACCACAAACCGGGGATTAGGGGCCGTATAAGCCTATCCATCCGCACACATACATCACGCACAAGAAATATCTATTAGAAAGACAGAGAAGAAAGACGTTGAAAGACAGAATGTATACCATATAAAAACAACGAGAAGAGTAAACTATATAAAGAAAGAAAAGACAGAGAAAGACTGGTGTTCAGCCGTCTGAGCACCTCACCCCGTGTAAAGGGCGGGGTGGCGCACCCAGACGTTGCCCAGGGGCACCAACGAGGAGGTACCGGTACCGCCCCCATATAATTTATAACTAGTTTAAAGTGAAACCAACTATCAACTGTTACGTGCGGCAGTCACAAAAGCACGCGAGGTCTAACATTATCGGCGTCTGGTATTTCTTAGCTCATTTTCATAATGCAAATTTCAGATTTCACAAAGGACTGCCCCGCTCGGGCCTCGTACCAAGTCGCTCGACTGCCCCTGGGGGCTGCTGTTGAGATAGAGGTTGTGGCTCTCAGCGGCGACCTCGTCATAGCTGAGGCTGGCCCATGTCCTTGCGCACGAATCTAAATTAGGAATTAATATTTTTAAATAAATTGTTTTATAAATATTTTATTGTGTTTTTATTATTTTTTAACTCCTTTAGAGCCCATTTTGTTCTAATTAAAATCAGTGTAGCCTTTATGTGAACTAAAAATATTATTTTTAAATGGTAATGCAACTAAAATAACACGTAAGAATATTTGATACGCATTATCTTTTCTAAATTTTATATTTTATTTATAATTCCATAGAAATCATACCTTGCTTCAAATGTTTATAATTAAACTTTAATTACTTTAAGTGAACGGTTTTAATAAAAATATTTAAACTTTTGTATCCATTTTTATAGGAAGCATAATTTTTGTATTTGAATAAAAATAATTATCTACTTTAAATCATAATATTTTTATTGGGATGAAGGCGTCTAATAAGGCGGACAATTCTTATGCTCAGTAATTATGTTATATTTTAGTCATGTTTAGAAATAAAATCTTTTCTTATCATATTGCAAAACAAATTGACGATACAATGTTGCCAACATATTGACTAAAAACGCACTGCTGCGACGAGGTCTTACGAGGGTTCTTTTTCCAAACGGACTATTATTTTTTCAGGTTTCTGAATACAGATAATACCGTTTATGTTATGTCTATTTACATATATTTGCAATTTAATGAAAGTAAACAAGCTTTTATTTACATAACAAAAAATATATTGCAGGGTCAATTATACTCTGTTAGAAAGTGACTATTATTTTGCCGCTGTATGAGGGAAAGGGTTGAGAACGGAAATGTCTATTTTTATCCACACTACTTTGGAAATGTTAGTTATTCGAGTCATATTAATGGTTATCCTTGTGTTAGGAGAAGAAACGATAATATGAAACATCATTATCATAAAAGCAAGTCTTAATATATGGAGTACTTAATTAAACATAGGAAGTATCCGTTTTAAATAACCATACTTAGCTGCCGATCGCGTGAAATGCAAGCCAATTGCCAATTAATCGTTGAAAATAGGCTCAAATTAGTTAGCCAAGCTATTACAGTTTAGATTTTGCTATCAGAACACCTCATTTTGTAATATTCATAGTTAGTATTTTAAACTTTTATTTATATGTACACATGTTAAGCATCCTTAAAAGTTAAATCAAATTTATCGTTCAAATAAATGAAGATAATTTTAAACATAAAATCACAGACGTAAGCAATGTTAAATTAAGCTACAAATTACAATTTTCACCGATAGCCCTACAGTGTTTTTATTATCACGCAAGGGAGAAATTTAATATATCGAGGCCCTTGCCCTCTATTAGGATATTAATAGGACGCTAATTCAATTTTATTCGCATACATAACTTATTCAGACGATTAGTTAATACGTTATTAACAAAGGAAAAAGGAAAAATATGCATACTAATGAGGCTGTTGAAGTGTTCATGAAATAGAAAAACTCCAAGGTATATTAAGAACAATAATTGCGTCAATGTGAAAGAATGCTTTACACTCGTTTAATTTGAAAAACGCGAAGGGGGTGCGAGGTCACCTCCTCCCTTAATAGCTACGTAGTAACTACGATACAATCTGTTAGAGCGCTCAGTCGAGCTCAGTTATTCCAGTAGACTAGTCAGAAGTTTGTCATACATACTCCGAGTATCTTAACTAGGAACGGATGGCTTTCGTCTAGATTTAACAACATGGGCTGCACCAGCAGCGCACCTATATCAGATATCCAATCTCATACAACAGGTAGGCATTATAATATTTCCGGTAACAATCATCGCGTGTTTGAGCGACAAAACTTTGCTTGCCCCGTGTCTATTTTTAAACACAATAATTTCGCGCAGTTAAGTAGTTTGTAGTTTTAAACGATTAGACTTAATAGATGTACGACGGGCCGTTGTTTTGTTAGCTATGCGATAATACACGCTTCACTGAGGGTTGAACATTTACTTGGAGGTCAATGTTAAAGGAAAAATAGGAATGCGAGACATTTATAATTCTAATGAAGTTATTAATAAATATACGAATATTACCAAATAGTACGAAATTTATTATTTGGTATTCCTTTATACAGATTATAATAAAAATCCTTATTTTAATCTACACATTTTTATCTGTTATATTTTATATTGGATGCCTTATTATATTATAGATTATATTAAAATTGTTATCACCATTTGATATTACTTGTTGAAGTTTTTTCTATAGCACCAGTTATTGGCCCACTGTTATTTGTTTTTGCCAAATAAAATTGCCGAAAATTCTTTCATTTAGTTGGAAGTAAGACAAGATGATAATGAATACTGATAAAGATTTATATTAAAAGAACCTTATATACGTCATATGTTAAAAGAAAATTATTTATGGCAACCCAACAATACATAGAATAAAAATTATTATTTTCTAATTTTATTTATGCTTTGTTCTCTTCTTAAGAGCACTATATTTTTATATAATTAGGTTTTTGAAGAAAATTTTTTACGGTTCTTTTGACGTGATAACGTCTCTAAAATCGTTTTAGTCGGGTGACATGTTCAGAAACTTGTGTCACACTAAAACCTCACGAGCGCGATCGCAGGTATAACGAGAGAGAGACGGACCGATCTCTCGTCTCATCTCGAGCGCTGCCAGTCATTCCGTGAAACTTGTCACGCGGAATCCTCACGAGCGGAGGCAGGCATAGCGTTCGAGTGAGTGGACCGATCTTCCGTCTCTCTCACTCTAGCGGCATACAAACAAATGGAGACTTTCTCGTGCGGTTAAGTTTTCGTTGAATGTTTAACAGTGAAACAAAATGTGAAGTGCAAGTGAAGTGTTACAACAATTGTAACAAAAAATATGTATGTATGCTTAAATGTATAAAAGTATGTTTGTATGAATGTATGTATGATGAAAAATGTATATCATAGTCGAATAAGTAAACTTGTCATTTTACTCCCGAAATTTATCATCAAAAGTGTGAATAAAACGATAGATGTAATTTAAAATTTGAAAAAATTGTTATCTTCATTAATTCCTTACTTCCCAAAAACTTATATCACCAATAAGACGTTATCACGTAAACATCTCGATCGTAAACCTACTTTACAAACAACCAATTTTTTTTAGAAAATGGGAATGCAGAAGTAAATGACAAGAAAGACGAAAAAAATGAAAATTCCAAACAAGAGGATTTAAAAAAAGAAGAGGATGCGGAAATAGTAGAAAATTTAGAAAGTAAAGTAATAAAAATGCTTCCGACATGTGATAATTTAGAACAAAATTTACAATTAGATAGAAGTTCAAATTCAGCACCAGATATCTTCACCACTGAAGACAAGGAAGTGATGACTGGTATGTGTTTGTGAAGTATTTACTGTACATTTGTAAAGTATTTATTTATTTCAAGTATTATGAAGACAAGTTGATAAAAATTATAATAATGAACATCAATACGTAATAAAATTCTTAAAGAACTCCTACATGTTTCACAATCGTCATTGCATTTTTAAATTAATATCAAAATTTAATCCTAAATTAGTTATTTCTCAATTACATTTAGTTAATTACGAGTACATAGTTACATAAATAATGATCGTATAATGAAATACATGTTAACCTTTTCCGCTAATTACATATTAAATTTAAAACCATTTTGAATTTAACTAACATAAATATTAATGTAGTGTAGAAGTTAAAAAAGTCTGACGGCTCGGCATTACAAGAACTTGTATAAATCATACAAAAATATCGCACATTCACACAGAAATACTAATGAATAGTTTGTCCTTTGTTGTTGACGGTACTTTCAAGGGTATAAAATGCTGACTATTTAAATGTTACATTAGGAATTTATGAATATATAATTGTTTTTAATTTCCATAACTCACTACCAGGTTAGAAAAGCTTTTAGTAACTTCAATTAAATGAAAAACATATTTATAGTTTAAATAAAACTAATATTTTCTGATTTAATCCGCCTTTTTTATTATTATACACTAAGTACATACTCTCGACGTTGTGGTTACCTTGCAGTAATCGTGATCACGGACAAACTAGATAAAAATTTTCAAGTGGTTTAAAATAAAAAAATGTAGTCTGAAAATATTAGTTTTATTTAAATTAATACTCGCGTAAGTCTTAGATCTCATTAGGTATGTTTATAGTTATGCTTAAAAGAATGGGATTTAAAATTTACATAACATAATATATCACTGGGCACTTAATTGTTTATTTTTGGCTGTAATTTAAATAAATAAATCAATTAAAATATATTTTTATTACTTATTATGATAGTGATATAAAAAAAGTAGTTACTTAATAAATATCTTGGATCAAAACAGTTATAATCTCACTGGCTAAATAAATGCCTGTCTGTATTGAATACAACATCAAGTACCTTCCATTGGCAAAAATATATACATATATTTAAAAAAATATAAAAGTTGTATCCATACTATAAAAGACGAAGAGTCAAAATAAATGCAACCCCTAGTAAAATGGTTATTTCGAATTAATATCCATCTTAAACGTGTAAAATCAAATAAAAATATAGATACATATAATTCAACAAAACAGGGATTTACAATCATTTTTATTCTTCATATCTATTTTCAACATTTTATCGAATAGAACTCGCCTGAGCCTCGAAAGGCATTCTTTTAGACAGATACAACATATCCGTTACAATGTAAAGGTAAAAAAAGACGCAATACCTCTTTATAATAACTTTTGTCGCATCTAATTAAACAATGATCTTTTAAACTAATTTCATTTATACAGGGTGACTGGTGAATCTTATAAATGATAAACTTTAAAACTTTAACTTACTTCAACGATGTAAATTTTAACTAAGTTTACAAATAGATTCTTAAGATTTAAATTGATAAAATAATTTAAATACCGTTTACCGTTGTTTAAAGAAGTCAGTGGTGGTCTATTGGTTAAAGGCCCGCCTCTCATGCATGAGGGCGCGGGTTCGATCCTGGCAAGTACCAATGTGACTTTTCCGAGTCATATGTACTTTCTAAGAGTATTTAGACATCACTGATTAATGCGTTCCCAAAGAGGATTGATGTCAGGCAAGCGGCCGGTCGCATAAAACAATTAGCGAAAACTATTCAGAACATGTAAGACAGACCCTGGCTAAAGCTGGGAAATTGCCAGATAGAAGAAGAATTTAAATACCGTTATGTCTTGAATAGTATTATTAAATAAAATATTCGGTTAAATCGTTTTTATTTCATTTATAAATTAAACTTCTTAAAGAGCACAAATAATTAATAATTAACTCTCAAACATTAACCGCAGTTTATTCTTTTACGATAAAATAAATAAACCTTCCTTTAATAAGAAGATAAAAAAAGTGATGATAAGAAGTGATAATAAGAAGATAAAAAAAGTGATATAATACTTTATTTTTTTAAATTTATTTTAAGAGATTATTGTATACGAAATTAATTATCTAAAACGCTTAACTTTCCTTATTATTAGACTTGACATTGTTGTATTTCTTCCTTATTAATTACAATGCATATAAATATTTCATAATTATCGCCGTTCCAACTAATACTTTCCTATACTTTGTAAATACCAAATACCTACCTATATTTAGTAAGGGTGTTTCGGACAATATAATAATTATCTTTACTTAAAAATATTATTAATATTTATACTTTATCTAGATAATTTCAGTTGTATATATGATATATTTAGATCGCTTGTTTAAAAATATACAGGGTGACTGGTGAATTACTATCAATATTTACGGAGAATACTCGGTACATGATTCTCATTCGAATTATGTAAAAAAAATAGGCACTTAATTTTTGACAAAATTTCCGTATAAATAAATAAAGTGTTGACACGTTCCAAGTGTTCCAAGTGTGGACGCGCGCGGCGGCGTGCTGATACAACACACGCCGCCGCACGCGTATGTGTGAGTGTGTGTGTATACCTAATTTGTAGGGTGTTTATACGATGCGTAATTAATTACATAACTTTTGGTTAACTTTACTGAGAAGTTTATTAATATTTATGTTATATTATTTTTTATTTTGTCATATATGATCGTCAAATATTACGTCCTCAATTATCGATAGTAATTCACCAGTCACCCTGTATAATTACAAAGATTATTACCAAAAGATTTCACAACTTTTCAACAGTTTTTCATTCATAAATTTTTCACATTACAATACTTTTTAGATTACTAAGGGAGCGTTCAAGTATTACGTAACGCAATTTTGGGGGGGTGGGGGGTTTTCGTAAAACGTTACGATGCGTTACTGGGGCGGGAGGGGGTGTCTCTTACAAAACCTTACGTAGTATTGTTTCTAAAAAAAATATTAATAAAAACCTCCAAACTGGCAACTCTTTTCATATACATTACATTGTTGACCAGATTGTATTAGTCTGGTCGATATTTTTATTTGTTATTCCAAGTTTGCAAACCTCTGAATTGATATTTTACGGGGAATACCTAGATTGCATTGTAAGTCTTTTGATGAAATTGATCACTTGAGTGTTACGTAACGTTTTGAGAAGGGGGGGGGGGGGCTACAGAAAAACGTTACTGTGCGTTACGACGGGGGAAGGGGGGTCAAAAATCTTCGAAAATTGCGTTACGTAATACTTGAACGCTCCCTAAGGGAAAAACGGGAAAAAATTAAGAGTGTGGCAATGTAAATTTATGCTTATATTTCGTTACCTGTGCAATATCGTCAAAAGACTAGGTGCTATTATAAATCTATTATCATTTTTTATTATAATTTTTATTGATAATTTTATTCTTTACGACCTTATTACCAAATACATTAATAACTCAGAACTTTGAGTACTTTTTGACTGCTTACAAATCTAGCTAATAGCATCTTTACACTCAAAATAATAATATGCAAATAAAGCTCGTGAAAAATTCAAATTTAAATAACCTTGTAGTTGCGCTAATAGAGATATTATCTTGATTTGTCTACTGATATTTTAATTGCTTAATTGTGTGGAACGCTCATTCATGTTTAAAAGCCATATATAAAACTTCCACATTTTTATTAAAATGTTAATTCCATGAGATCTAAGACTTTTACAAGTATTCATGTAATTCAAACTAATATTTTCGGATTACTAAATTGTGATTACGGTAGCTGCAAAGTAACCGAAAATGTTGTCTAAAATATTAAAAAACGCGTATTACGTAAATATTAGTTTTATTTAAATATTAATCTAATAGGGAAGTGTAATATTTCAACTATTTTAGATTTAAATAACGTGGAAAATGATGAACCTACGGCAATTGAAGAAACGATACCCACTATTGACAATGAGAAACCGCCGCCAAAATGTTCAACATTTCAAGAAGTGGTTGAACAAGTTGTTTTAGACAGTATTTTAGAAGATATAGCTAAAATGCCCGGTCTTAAAGAAAACGAGGATGACCACGTTGATGATGATCAAAATGTTGAACAAAATGAAATGGTTAAGGAAATTTCAGATGAGATACACCATGCAATAAACGAAGATAAGGAAGAATATAAGTAGGTTATAAAAATTGTAATCCAAATAGTTTTTGAACGAAATTCGATGTTTGTTTTTTTTTAGGGAAGTTGAAGAAGATCCCGAAGAAGCAGCCAGTCCAAGTCAATCGGAATGCAGTCGAGCGACCCGATGGGAAGCCCTGGCGGACATCGCGGCAGAGCTGCCACCGTCACTAGCTGTTGACCCACTGACGGGACAGATATTCTCGCTCACTAAATAAACATTTGTATATAAACTGTAAAAATAATCTCAAAACGGCTTCTTATCTAGATTATAAAAATTATAAAGAAGTTAATTGGTTAACACTTTTGTGTTTTGTGGGCGATTTAGTTTAGTTTGATAAATAAGTAATTAAGTAAAAATTTAAGATGTATATAAATATTTCAGAGTACTCTCAAATCTCAATATAAATTTTCTATAGTAACATAACTATATTTTGAAAGTAATATAAAAGCATGTAATTGTTTTTGTGCTTTTAATAAATATGTAACTTGTATATTTTGGTGCCAGTTATAAAATCTTTCATGGACGCACTAACCTCGACGCCTTTTTTAACATTTAATTGTGTATATAAGTAAGTAATAAATAATTCAAAACAGTGTACTTAGTTTAAAATTGCGAAGTAATCGTGCTTTCCAGTAATAACGTCTTTTATTCAAAAACATTTTGCATAATAACAATTAACGGAGATTAAATAACGAAATACTTTCGTAGCGTCAGTGTAGTGGTGGATACTATAGAATGTATATATAAAATTAACTAAAATAAAGTATACTAAGAATTATTTTATCGTCCCTTTTAATCTCTTAAGGTACTTATCCATAACGTCCGTAGATTAATTATTAATCTTTCAGTTAAGTTTTTTCGGTGATCGTGTCTTCACAGAAAAGGTTTTCAAAGCCTTCTCAGGGGAGGTTTGGACTCGCCGCCAGAATAGAGCTTTCTTAGAGATTTTGACGGATTTTTGGACGGTTGGACTTCTTAGACATTTGGACGTAACGAATTAGGGCATTCAAATGAGTTGTGACATTATAACATTATTGTATATTACAGATTACAGACTTCTCAGAGTTCAGTTACAGTTTAGGCTTAGTCAAGAGACGTTTCAAGAACGTATTAATATCAGCGATGCACTTTCTACTAGCTCAATAATGACTTTACAATATGGATACATTTTCTTATAAGTCACAGAGGTTTCCCTCGTATTGTCCCTTACCATGGTTTTGTGGGTGATGTCGTTAGATTTATAATTCTACCATTGACGTGATAGCATTTTAAGACGTGCATAAATTAACTTACCGAAAGTTGGCTTAAGGATTCTTTAGCATCAGTTTTCCGTTATTAAATTTTATTGAATAATAAGTATTTCATTTATTTTTATACTTTTACAAATCTAAACTCCTTTTTATTTTAAAATAGCTATGTTACGCTGTTTATCTAGCAATTCATTATGTGATAATGCTAGTCCATAAGACAGAATTCTTAAACGTGTTGTTACAAAAGCTGCATACATTTTTTGTTTCACATTCAACTAGATAAGCTGACCTCATGTTACGCCCACGGACAATTAATTGCAGTAAGCTAGTAAGCTCTCATGTAAATTATAAGTGGATTTTTTAAGTTAATTTTAATGAAATAGATGAAGAAAATTATATTCCGAAATTGATGACTATAACGCATTCGATTAATTTAAAATACTTATATTTACATCTATGTATTTCTGGAAATAAACTTTTGGAAAACCACCATTATTGAAAAAAACAGGAATTATGATAATTCACATAGAAATAAAGTCCTGTTTAAAACAATAATTATATTTTTTTATAACACTTTCCTTGTGAGCGTGACTCGTGTTTGTATCTTTCAAGCATTTTATTTATAATTTTTTATGTATTGAGAAAGTTATTCTTATTTAATTACCATCACGTATTCCTTAGGTGATGCGATGATAAAAAATATATAGCGAAAGTAAGAAAACATTGCAAAATTATAAGTTTTTTTAAATACTACATTTCACCAAAAATTACGTCAAACCATTTCCACAATGTGTTAACTAATATGAAACTTAGATGTATGTTAAGAAAAATTGAAGTTTTTAAATTAAGTAAGCTATTTTTATCAAAAACTTTGGTTAATCGTTGTTATAGCATATCTTAATATAATAATATTTTATAAACATAATTTTAAGAATCTATGTTTATTTTTTCTATTAAATAATTATAACCGTGTCGTATGTATTTATTATATTATGACTTAATATTAAACTTCACAGAAGGTGTGACCGAAAATTTAATGCAACTTATACCTTACCAAATATTTCATCCGATGTAGCAATGTTGAAAAATTTCATATCATTAGTTTTCATATTTCAATAAGTATAATTAATATACAGTATTACAAATAAATTCTATATAAATTCTATCTAAAAATGATTATTTATACGGATTTAGTTGTCTTACTTGATAGGAAAATGGCATAAACTATATACATAATTTACTGAACATATACATAGGTACTTATAATACATTTGTGTGTGTATATACTGTATATATTAGAATTTTAGTTTAAGATAAATATTTAAATTCTCTTTATATATATCATTATATTTTACTTTTATTTCTTTCGAAAGGCTTTTAATCTGATGAGGGTGCATCAGTATAACAAACAATATTAGGTACGAAGTTCGTATAATTTAACGTTATTATGCCATCAAGTATCAATGACTGAGTTTATGTTGTTAAATAGTAAATAAAACTCAACAATGTTGAAAGGGTGTACGCGGGAACCGTAGCAAATGCCACCATTGTTATACATATAATCCGGCCCTGAACCTCACATACATAGTTAATAATGTTATTGTTCGATCATTCAACCTTTCTACTTGATTGGATCGATTTCTTTAAGACACTTTATAATGAATAAGGAAAAGTAAGTAAAAAAAATATAATTTCGATACCAGTTTTGCCCCTAACTACGATTGAGTATATTCCACAAAGGATTAAGGAATAAAGAAAAATATAAAAATACCTAATACGTTTTAATTAACATTAAGTAAATACATGTTTAATAAAATACGCTTTTCGTTAAAAAGTTATTTTCTCACGTCCAAGACGTTATTAATAATTAATCTGTGTCACTTGACTTTATACTAAATATGTTTCCCGCAGAACTACAAAGATCATGTACGCTGCGTACGGAGATATATCAGTTTTTCATTAATAAATGTTTGCACATTATACAATTCATACAATGACAAACTGAAAACACTCCGTATAGTGTGACTGTGACAACTTGGACTAAATATGAAGATCACAGATAATCTATAGATCTTGATTTTTATTTACACTATCACTGTTTTACTAAACAGACGCCATTTTTGTTTTGTATGCGCCATGATGAAATATTTCTTTCACTTAAAAACAACCCCTTCAAAGTTGCTCTATTAATTTTTAGTTTACTAATCGTACGTATAACTAATTTAGGAACAAAGAAAGAAACTTCTTAATTGTTTCTATTAACATAAATGATATTCGCCAACAAAATACGATTATATAATAAAGGCACGTAGTGAAGGCATCAAATTCTATAGATAAGGCATCTCCAAAATATTGTAGAGCTTTAGAACTTGGCCTATATAGCATCTTCAGAATTTTTTAACATAAGATGTATAATTATGGAAACTAGATGGGAAAAGTTAACTAGGCCGACGTTATCCTAGATATTTTCGTTCATAGTTCATACTCATTAGAAGCTTAGTCAATTTAGATTTGGGAAATCTTCCGTCACATTTATTGATACTGATTACTGAGTATCAAGTGAATGCTAGTCGCAGATTCCAGAATGTGGTTCCTACTTGAACGAAAAATATACATAAGCACCTACTATGGAAAGATTTAAAAAGTAGAGAATAAATTGTTAGTGTTTTTAGTTAAACTACACAAAGAAAGTGGAGGAAATAGTTCTCTAGAATCGAGTGATAAATATTATTCAACATTACAATACAGATGTTCTATATGCTTGTTTAAACAAATTTATGAAAATAAATAAAAATACGTGATGAAAGTATAAAAATATGAAACGGACCAAATGAACATTCAGATTAGCACTTACTACATAGACCATTATGACGTTTTTTTTTTCTTCAAATATAATTATAAGCTCCACTTCAATGGTATAACGTTTAAATATTAATGATTTAAATACATATTATAAAGACTAATTAATGATGCAAGTTCATTATATTTATTATAAAGAAACTGTAGGTATGTTTCCAACAAGCTTGAAATATATGTTACTTTCATAAATCGTCTCACATATAATATTAATACAAGAAACGGAAAACGCTTTGTATGTAGTTTGACGATGAAAACTTGTGATAACACACTTGCCAGAGATATTACTGCTTCAAATTATATAAATGTACATAGATTATTAAATTATGACTAAATCTATTCATATTGTAAACGAGAAATATATATATTTTACAATATTGTATTTTAAATTTACACAACTAGAAGTATTCATTGTTATTACTAGGAGAGCCCGCGACTTCGTCCGCGTGGAATGGTTATTTTAGGTATCATATTTATTCTCGAACTTTGGCTAACCGCGATCGGGAATCAAGCACTGTAAGTCATTTTTATATCGGTGTTATTTTAAAATTGAAATTCTATTATGATCATTGAAATGATTGAAGCGATTTCAAAGACAATTTTGTTCAGAATTAAATACTCTTAATCAACAACACATTAAGATTACTACAAGAATCATATTATTATGTCTATACAACTCTAACATATAATTGGTAATAATGCATTAATTTCGACCAAATTTGATTACCATAAAAACAGTTCTAGTGAGTTAAACATAAAAGATATGTCTTTCTTACTTCTTATATACCTACTGTGCGAACATTTTTTTAGATCATTTAAAGAGGAATATTCTTTGATATATATTATTTGGTATCTTAAACCGTTTTCGCTGCGCTCGCAACGGAAGCCATGAATAATTTTCCATTTTTTTTTTCACATTTTCCATCGTTTCTTCTATATATAGCTTAAAGCTTTCCTAAGTAAATGATCTATACAATACGAAAGACTACAAATATGAATGAGTAGTTCCTAAGATTAGAGCAATCAAGCAAACAAACAAAGAAACAAATTCCTCAGCTATATAATATTAGTATAGATTTTATAAGTCAGAATATTCTTTAAGTTTCAT